TATCCATTGATACTATCTGCAATACTTTTGCATATTCATTAAAGAAGTGTGGGAAAAATCTATGGAAACGCAAATTCACATGTGGAAGGGTTTCATTACATAAGAAAATATCTAAACTCTGTGTAGAGCATGTGCATTCCAAATATGTATATAGAAAATCACTGCGACTGCGAATTCATCTAGATGCTCTAGGAATATTTCTGCATCAAAAAGAAAATTTTGAAAAAAATGTCGCTTACGTTATTTTGGCGGTTAAGGCTCGATATCATTACCAAAAGATATCTTAACTCAATGGGCGAAGTAATTGAGGGTGCATTGAATGAAATCTATAACTGGGTCAAACAGGTGCGGCATTAAAATAAATATATGTATATATTGCCGAGTCTGAAATCTATGACGGCCCAAAGTGTAAGCGCTAGATGTTTATTCTTCCTTATCCTGAGTTTCGCCCGAATTCACACGAAAATTTTTATTCCGCCCATATTAAATACATGGAAACAAAAAGTGAAAAGTGAGCTCGACTCGATTTAAGTCCAGACACAAACAAACTTTATAACTCACAAAGAATTACAAGATTCTGCTTTAACTTTCCGCTAAACTAAGAATTTTAAAAGTGTCTCCCAGCTGTGCTGCCTTACTATACTTTTGTCATGTGATGCTTAATGGGCCGTATGAAAAATTGATTTTTCTTAAAATTTCAGACCTTTTACTTGATTTGTTCAAACAAAATTGAAGTAAAAGTTATGAAATTTTAAGCAAAAGGAATTACTTATTTTTATTCATACGACCCAATATGTATAGGCTTTGACACCCTTTTTTATTTACTCCAACATATGACAGCGTACCTGTCTTTGTCTTATGAAAAGTGATTTTTGATAATTTTTTGAAAATTCACATCAAAACTGAAACTGAACTGAAATAATTCAGTCAGTCACTCAGTCAGTAATAGCCCTCGTACCACTAGGACATTAGTTCGTGTGCAAGTAGACGATTTACATCAACATTTCGGCCAATAATACATATAGGAACTGCAACACAAACAACAAACAGGACAACAACGAGATTTTACTAAAACTACCAAGAAAAAATTGCAAATAAAATTGTAAAAGGCCAGGAGATTTCAACTATCTATAGCCACGTATCAAGCATATATATAATGTCCTTTGAAGCAAACCTTTATCGGCAATTTGATTTACCTCGGGAGCAAGCATCCGAAGCAGAAAAACAAGAAGCTCAAGAGCTACCTTCAACATCAAAACAACGCTTGCCAACAGCAAGGTCTTTTGAACTATCACCACCGGTACCGCACCCCAGCTACCCTCGCTTACTTCCAGAAAAACAAGAAGCTCAAGAGCTACCTTCAACATCAAAACAACTTTTGACAACACCGGAGCCTATTGAACTATCCCCTCGGGTAGCACACCCCAGCTATCCTCTCTCACTTCCAGGGAAACAAAGCCAGAACAGCTGCAGCAGTCAAACAATTTTCCCTGCACCAATACTGCAATCCAGCACGCCAGTAGCACACGGTGCAGCCAATCCCACATCCAGCAAACGCACACAGCGAGCCAATCAACCCGCANACTTGAAAATACGCTGTTGGAAGATCAGCAGAGCGATTTCAATTTGCGTTTGGCTTACGAACGCCAAACAGAAAAACTTAAAAATATGTGTCAGTCCTTGGATAATGAAAAAGCGCGTAATGTACGACTGATGGAGTTAATTCGTGGTGTTGAACTATCTACTTCGACGGAAGATGAGGAACCGGATTATTCGCTTTCACGATGTGGTGCTACGGAACGTTGGTCACGCGCATCAGATGTATATGAATCGATAAGCCCGCTGTTGTTGCAACAGAGGTAAATGTCATTAAAGTCACGATGAGTACTAAAGATTATTCAAAACAGTAAACAGTCAGTAATTGAGCGCATCCTTCTAGCTATAATAAAGCAGTCATATAGTTCAGATGCCATATCTTATCAAGTTATCTGAAAGTATAATAGCTCTAAATCCATCGGTAATATTTTGCAGTACATCCCAATTTGGTGGAGAGTGACACTTATTTTACATACGAATGAATTCTTATAGTTTTGAATTGGTATAGTTTGGTGTAATTGAAACATCATTGTTTGCTTCTATGAACGGCAATGCAAAACTAACTTCAAGGAGACCCAATGCGTTTGCCCCTGGATGTCCCTTACATTATACGGCGCAGAAGCTCAGCCAAATTAGTGGCAAACAGCTAGACTTCAATAATACTACATTGTTTTTGATGCGGCTCTTTAATACTTTTCAGAT